AATTGATTTTTAGAGATTTCAAGCAAAAAATAATCAGCGTGGAGTTATAGGCGGTGCAGCACAAAAAGTACCAATTCTAGCAGATTTATCTAATTTTAGAGGACCATGCTATGATTATCGTCTTTATTTCGAAAAGAGACCATTAGATGCTAACCAGGAATTTTATTTACAAACAAATCCTAAATGTATATATTTATATTCATAAGTTGTTTTTTTTTATAATATTAATAAAAAAAATTAAATATATTTAATTTAATAAGAAAAGAGACTGGAATTTGGTATTACAAACAACATATCGGCAGAAATTCCTTATCTGGATTTATGAAAGATCTTGTTCATAAAACTGCTATTGAAGTTGATGGCCTTTTAACAAACCACTCTGGATGAAAAATAGCTGCACAATTAATGCAAGATAAAGATATTGAAGAACAAGTCATTATGAATATTACAGGGCATCGAAGTGTTAATACAGTACGAAAATATAAAATACCTAATGATCAACAAAAAATGGATACATTACAGAACCTTATTTCTACTTATAGCAATGTAACTAATCAAGAAATTCCAAATTATTAACTAATTCAAGATCTCAATGAACAACTATTAAGAAATTCTCAAATTACCAACCTCGAATCACAAAATTTACCTATTTATACTTCTCCTGATAATATTCAAGAAAAGGTGCCTATATTTAACAACTGTCAATTTCAAAATGTTAATTTCTACTTTCAATAGATTTTATTATAATTATAAATACCTCTAATAGTTTAATTATAATACTATTTAATATGACAAGATTATTAAGAAATATAAATATTATGATGCTTTTCACTTTATTTTAGATTTTAATAATACAATAGTAAATTAACTAATTAATAAATAAGCAGTACAATTTTGGTATGATATTTTACAGTATTACGCAATAGTGATATTTTACTAGAAAATTGATCTTTGATAATAGATCTAGTAAAATATTAATATGCAGTATCACGGGCGAACAATTAGTAAATAGAGAATATAATAATAATAAACAGCAAAAACTATTAGTTTTTTGAACTATCTACCAGCTATCAAAGAAGGCCACATATTATTTTGAAAGACATAGACAAAGATCAATATAAACTGTTTTATATATATTATTATGAATATTTATTTTATAGTAGTTATTATTTAAACTTTCTAGTTTTTTATTTGACAACATATATATTTAGCTAATATATAAAAATTAAAAGTCTAAAACAATTTTAATTTTTAAATATATATAAAAATATAATTTATTAGTATATAT